ATTCTGGCCTCACTATCCAGTAGCTTTCTAAACTTGGACCTGTGACATGAGCTCATTAAGTCTAAGTTTTCCTTATCTGTAAAATGGGTACACTAAAACATACAGCACGGTATTGCTATGAGGGTTAAATGAGAACATATTCATATATAAAAATGCCTGGTGCAGTCCCTGATAAAATTTAGACATCCAATAAATGCTACCTGTTATTGTTACTATTCACTTTCTTGTAAACTTTAATCATGAACTCCTCCTCTATAATTTGAGAATGATTTGACCTGATTTCTTAGGAATGGGACAGGCCATACTCAAAGTAGACATCTGCAGAAAGTTCCTTACAGTGATATGTGGCAGCGTATTTCATAACAGCTCTGCTGTCTAAGGGCATCCAAGACAGATCCGCAGAAACATCAACAATGAAACTGAATAGAAGTGACCTACTGTTCGTTCGCCTTTGACACCATCAAGATACTTGCCAGCTGGGTTCCAAGAGCAGATTCTTTATTACAGTGGTGATGTAAGAGGCAGAGAAAACAGCTGGATTTTCAGGTTCTAGGGAAAATTTGTAGCATCAGCATCCCCTCAAAATTATCTTTTGACTTAAAAACTGAGTACACTGGATATGAAAGTCATTAAAAGAGAATAAATGTGAAACCCCATGAAGTCATTCTCACTGAGACTTTTTCAGAGTGTAACCACCCTTTAAGCAATAAAACATGACACACCATGCAGTGGTTCTGATTAATAGATGCTCAGGTGTGTACTAAGGCAAAAGGGGAAACAAGATGGAGCTAAGTGACAATTTGCCAAAAAATGAAAGTAAGATTATAGCAGCAGGTTGTTGGGCTGAGAAAGAAGGGTTTAATTAAAGGACAGACATATTATGGTTGTATTAATTATAAAATACACAATTTAAATCAACTGTTAGATATCTTTAAAATGTGCATTTATTTAATTACACGAAGGATTTGTAAGTTTGCCAGATAATTTTGCACTACAATGTACTATTGATGAGTTATTTCCTTTATCATTTTAATGTAGTTGCCAGGAGGGAAAAAAGAGAAGGAATTTCTGTCTGGTGAAGTGCTGATATGTCCAGCCTTATGATGGGTTAGAAAGAACAGTGAAGAGCTCTTGAGCCCAGTTTGCTGTTTATGTGGCTGCTGGGGTAATGCTGTTTAATGGATGTCTCAATGCATAGCATGGGTCCACCATACTGGCCCCAAAGAGTTTGATTAATGCCACCAAGGTTTTCCTCTGGTGAGTAACAGTGAGTCAAGTGCTCACCTGGGAGATGCAGATGAAGTCTTGCCATACTGGAGCTAACATTTAAGAGCTGAGCTTTTCTGGCCAAGTAATAACTACGGAGATTCCCTGGATAAGTCTGTTCTCCTCACCTAAGTAAACACTATTATCCCCACAGCATGTTTTGTTAGGCTTTTCATCTTTGGGTGAAGATGATTCTTTTTGAGGATAAGGATAAAGAGGAGAAGAGAAGATGATTCTTTTTGAGGATAAGGATAAAGAGGAGAAACAACTAATGCTTCTTCTACTGCAAGAGAAGAACGAGGCAAGAAAATTTGAACAGACTCAGAGGCAATTGTCTATGCATTTCTACAAGTAAATTAGTAACATAAGGAAAGAAAAACAAGTAAACATTTAAGCAGACCTAGAGAATGAGTACTGGGCTAAGCTTGGTGGAAAAAGAAATATTAATGTGGCATAATAGCAGATTACCAATAGTCTGTTCCTATAAATTAATGAATGTAACCATAGAATTACAGCATGTTTTCACCAAGAACACCAACTGAACACACAGCTTTTCCAAAGCATGAGATATTCCTTTACTCTTATTTTCAGCCTGAGTTTATCACCCCAGTGGTATTTTTTTAATTTTATTTTTAATTTTGGTGGATACATAGTAGGTGTATATATTTCTGGGGTACATGAGATGTTTTGATATAGGCACACCATGTGAAATAATTACATCATGGAGAATGTGGTATCTGTCCTCTTAAACATTTATCTTTTGTGTTACAAACAATCCAATTGCCCTCTTTTGGTTATTTTTAAATCTATGATTATTATTCCTCTAGTCACCCTGTTATGCTAGTAGGTCATATTCATTCTTTCTATTTTCTGTGCCCATTAACCATCCCCACCTTTTCCCCAGTGGTGTTGACAGTATTGTCATTATTATTTCTGCTGGTAATGTTAGAAAAGTTTGCTTCCTTGTTTTTTAAATCCACCCTCATTTTTAGATGTTATTTAACTATAAAAGATATTTATTCGTTCGGTTTGCTGAAGCAAATAAATAAAGCAAATTGTTCTTTTTTGGAACACAATATATTTTTGCAGGCTATGCACCCCAACCCCCTCTTTCTGGTCTTGTCATTGTTGATGATCTGCTGGGCCTATTGGTGCCAAGTAAGCACTGATACATATTAGTCGGTGGCCTTTTATGTCTGTTATCCTTGCCCAGCCACTAACAAGGATGTGACCTTGAGCAAGTCAGTTCCCTTAATCTCTTCATCTGAAAAATGAGGGGGTTGAAGTAAATGAGCTTTGAGGTCTTTTCAATTTCAACAAAATCTAGCAAGAGTCTTTGTTCCCTTTAAATTCAGTTCAGCATATTATCAGCCTCGTGCAAACTTAAGTACAAGAAAGCATTGCCCACTCACTATAGGGTACTCAGAGTAAAAATTGTCTCAGCTTTCAAAGAAGGGGAAAGACTAATCACACAAAGAACCATTAGAATTGGTAGAATATGCAAAGGGAATAGTACAAAAAGTGCTCATAGTATTTAAGAAGGGCATTCTCCTTTGTGAAATGCTACATAAATGAGGTGGCACTTGGATGGCCCTTGAAGAAGCTACATGTAGACACTGAAAGGAGAGAAGAAATACCATGAACATGGTGGGAAAGAGTAGGACTTTGCTGGAGTGTAGAATGGAGTGTAGAGATAAGAGTGAGAAACTAGATTGGGCTACATTGTAGCAGCTTTGAATACCAAACTGAGAAGTTTGAACTTAATCCAATAAGCAAAGAGAACTGTAAGAAAAGAAGTGACATGTTTTGAAGAGCACTTTAGAAAAATTAATGTAATGTTTGTGTGAAGGATGGACAAGAGGTAAAGAAAAACTAGAAAAAGTGAAGCCAGTCAAGAGCCTTTCACAGATGTCCTCACAGTGGGTCGCAAGGGGAGAAATCGAGCTTGGTATAGAAAACAGGTACTGATTCAGGAATCACAATCATAGTAAAAACCACAGGATTTGGCAACTAATGGGATATAGGAAGCAAAAAAGAGAAGAATTAAAGATGACTCCCCAATTGTAGGCCCACGTAACTGGATGAAGGGAATACCAGTGGCAGGAAATGGGACGTCTACAGAAGGAACAGATTTTAAGGGAAAGTCAGTGAATTCAGTTCTAAACTTTCTGAATTAGAAAAGCGTGTGTAGTATTTGATGGAGATGTGAGCTTGTCAAAGTTAAACGCCTTGCCTTATTCATCCTGGTGCCTAGTAGATGCTATATAAATACGGAATGAATGAACCAACAACCAGTTGTAATTTAGAATGTGGATGTACAACTCTGTAGAAAAGCTAGAAATAAAGATAGCAAGCAATGTGAATGCTCTCTGTGGAGAAGAGATTGTTGAAGTCAGGGAGAGTTGGGGTAGACAAAGCCTGAGGAGAGAATCTAGAGGAATGTCTACATTCAGAGAACAGAAGAAATAAAATAAGCCAGTGAAGAAGGCAGAATAGCAGACTGAGAAGTAGGGGGAAAATCAGGGTAGTTCAGTGTCCCAGTGCAGAGTGAAGTAGATTTCAGGAATGAAGGGGGTCATGGTCATTGGAGCCTAATGTGGCCAAAGGGGTGAAGCCCAGAAAAAGACCACTGGGTTTGAGGCTCTAGAACAGGTAATAGCCCCTCAAGCTTAACTCCTCAGCTTTAGAGGCTATGGGAGAAAATGGAGTCTTTGCAGTGAAGGACACAGGGAGTGCTCAGAACATGCCCAGATCAATGGGTGTCACTAGAATAGATAAGAACTAAGCGAGCGAGAGAGAGAGAGACTGAAGTAGAATGAAGTATATCAGAAATGTGGTAAAAGTACACAATGGAACATTGTTCAGCCTTTAAAAAGAAGGAAATCTTGTCATTTGCAGCAACATGGATGAATCCAGAGGTCATCCGTGATATATGGAAAAAAACATGCTTTTTTTGTACTAAAAAAGCCAGGTACAGAAAGACAAAAACCACATGATATCACTAATATAGGGAATCTAAAAAACTTAATTTATAGAAGCAAAGATTAGAATAGTGGCTGGCAGAGGCTGGGGAGACATCAGTCAAAGGACATAAAATCTCAGTTAGGACGAATAACTCCAGAGATGTGCTGTACATCCTCGTAACTATTGTTAATAAGAATGTAGTGTATATTGAAAATAACTGTAGGTTTTAAGTGTTCTCACCATGAAAAAGTGATAAATATGTGAGGTAATACACATTTTAATTAGTTTGATTTAGCCATTCCATGGCGTATACATGTATCAAAACATCGTATTTTATACCATAAATATATACAATTTTTAAGTGTGAATCAAAAATAAATAAACATAATAAATGATAAAAAAAGAGAAAAGGATATGAGAAGAATCAACTGTGGCAAGGTTGAAGGACACTATTCGTACCTCCTTCCCCTACTTTCACCCACAACTCAGTTTCTAAGTCAGAACCTAAAAATCAGCTCTGCCCGCACTGACAAGGTACTGTTGATGTCTCAGGCTGCACGGGCAGTTAGGTGAAAGCACTGAAAATGGAGCCTGGACAGCATCCTCTCCATTTCTCCTTCCCTAACTCGCCATCCTCTGGTGCAAAGATGTAGAACTAACCAACCAACCTCTCGTTCAAGTCCCAAAGTTCTTTATGATCAAAGTAAGTAATTGCCATCACCATCACCTGTTCATGTAACAACCTTATTTTTTTTTTTTGTCTGATCTAGATACAGCTACTCTCTGTTCCCTGCCCCAATGAACATCTTCACTAGGCCCAAGCCTTGGAGTGATTTACCTGAAGAGTGACACCATTTATTCTGAAACTACTGTGAGTACATTATGTCTCCAATAAAACACTTCTTAGTTCACTTTGTTTAATTAAACACACACACACACACACACACACACACAATTATGAGAGCAGGCAAAATTTTAGATGGCTTCATTTCTTGATCATCAGGGTAACCACTCAGTCTGAGGTGCCCACAGCAGTTCTCAACTGCCGTGCACGCTGTTTGCAGCATCATTCCCTCCTGGCCAGATGGCTATGCCGAGCTAGATCTGAGCACACCTTGCAAGGACTGGTGCTGTTCTACTTGGTCATCTGTGCCTCTGCCTACAGTGGTGGCAGCTGCTCTGGATCTGTTTGTTTCTCATCATCCTTCTGTGTCACTCTGTTGAATCTCATGGTAGCTTGTCATTTCATGCCACCCTGGTCAAATCTGTGAGCCAGCTTTGCTTGCTTTTATTTTCCTGTTGTCTGAGCTGCAACCCATGCTGTTGTCTTCTTGCTGCTCTCCCCTTGGAGCTCTGGGTTCCTTCTACCACATCTCTAAGCCACTGTATCCAGCTCAGCTCTGCTCTCTGAATGTATGGGTCTGTAGTTGGTTTCGTTCCTGCCATGAAAGGCAATTATGTAGGAGAAGCTCAGCCCTTGCAAGGAAAGGTACAGAAATAATTTGGGGTAGGAGATATGATACCTATGAAAAATACTGATGAAAGATTGATACCAAGTATTCATTAGATTGATACCAAAGATTGATACCAAATATTCATTGCTAAAATAACAGATGAATATATGCTATTTTCCACTAGAAAACCCAGACCTTTGAATTATTTTGAAGTTCTTCGTGTGAAATAACTTAATTATACATTTTAAAACAAAAACTCATTCTCGTTGTTATATTCATAAGTTTTCCTATATGTTACGAGGCAGGTAATTGGATGGTGTTTTTACAGACTTCTATGTCACTGGAAAACGCTAAACCTGGGAAAATAACATCCCTCTTAGGCTTCAGGTAGGATATTTACATTCATATTTCTATGTCTTTAGCTATTCTGGTATAAGTTGAACCCAAAGGGATGAAGCCAGAGTTTTGTTTTATTTTGCGTTGCTTTTTTGCCTTTAATGCTTTCAGTCAACTGAATCATAACTGATGTTAGCTGATGTGTAGTTGATAGGCCTGCCCTTCCAGGAAGGGAATGTGTTCTGTAGTACAAAATGATTGAGGTATTGGGGACTAGAGACATGACAGAAGATCAAACGTAGTTTCTTCAGTCCACACCCACACAAGGAACTTAATTGTATGTACCTTCTTCATTCATCCTAAGTTGCAGTGCAAGAAGTACCTTAGAAATTCTCACATCTGGATAGTTTTTGCATTTTTCTTCATTACAGAGTAACTATGGTGATACAAGTAAGATAGCCTTACTGTGATGCAGGTATGTTTCAAAGTTTCTATATCCTTTAAGAGAGAAAAGAGTCCTTATCACTCTTACCTCCTGTGCTGCAGAGAACCCAGATCCAGACCTAGAAATCAGGACCTGATGTTGCCTGCAAATTACAGAGATGTCCACAAGTTAGCATCTGTTTCTGTCATAGGAAGTATTCCATCTGTGCAGGATGCCAGTGCCTGCTTTTACTTCTCATGGGCCCTAGAGAATGGACAGATTGGGTTATAATCTTTGCAGTCTCTGCTATTCAGAAACTTGGCTTTCTAAAGCATAAAATAAAAATGATAATAAAACTGACAAAGACTTGCTAGGTGCAAAAATCAGCAAGGAGGATAAAAATTAAAATGTGAACCATTTGCAGAAGTGTATCTCTTCTGATGGATTGACAACGCTTTGGGCCTAGTCTCAAGACTTGGAAGTGGGTTGTGGAAGCGCATATTAAATTTTAACACCTACCCACCCCCATTCCACCTGCACAGTCATGCCCAGTGACCCTGCCTACTTAACCAGATTATTGTGATAATTAAATGAGATGGTATGTGTATATATATATATATAATGTCTATCATGGCAGAGGTGAGTATATTTACTCTCTCATATAAAATTTGCTATGTGCCAGACACTGTTCTAGGAACTAGGGACATGGCAGCAAGCAAAACAAACAAAAATCCCTGCTCAACTGAACTTACATTCACTTACATTGCTCTATGAATGACAATTCAACATAATAGGTATATGGAAACTAAGAGACAACTAGTTTTATTTTGCTCTGTCCTTCCTTCCAGAAAGTATAATTGAGAGCATAGGCGAGAAAGAATATATATGTTGATTAGTTTTCCCACCCCATTCCAACCCCAAAAAAACCCCAGAACCATTCTTTGCCCTGCTGTGTGACCGAGAAGGCTGGCTTTCTGGACTACATTATCCAGACTCTCTTGTCCTTGGGCTTCCCTTTGAATTTGGCCAAAAGGAAATATCAGCAGGAGATGTAAAGGTGGGAGAAGAGAGAGATCAGGGACCGTATTGGTCCAGCCCTCCTTCCCAACTCCAATTCTGACTGGACTCAGAAATAATCACCTTTTACTTGCCCCTTCAGTTAAATGGTTTACAGCTTTCTGCTATTGCTAGTACCTGGTGCTGTCTCCCTTAAGGTCCCTTAACCTCATCTGCACCTCTAAATACAGTTCTTTTATTAAACCCTCTTTAGCTAAAAACTTTGCATGTGCCATCTGTTTTTGCCGGGATCCTGATGATACAGTTAGGAGGAAAAAACATTATAAATCAGCCCTGCCAAGGTTACAAAAATAAGATTAAGAAAACAAAATGTGTTTAATCACAAAAACATCCTAAATTGATGTGAGGACATCAGACCAAGTAGAGAAATGATAAATTGTAAGAAAACACGGTAAGCCAGAATGCCATAGGCTGGTCTCAATGAATAGACCATCGTGCTCAGGCTTGATGGGATTCTACAGGCCAAGTGCAGCCTGCTCAACCCTCAGCTTCAAGGAGCTTATGGTGTAGGGTAGCCACAGCAGTGACAAACATATGAGCAGAAAGGAGATGTCAGGAAGTATACCACGAGATCGAAGTGTTGAGGGAGAGATTGCTTGTCCTAACATTGTTTCTGCCTTTGCTACAATAACAATCCATTTGCCCCTGCCCCAAATCTAGATACCTAAACAGATTACCAAGATGAAGGAAATGTCTTCTTAAGCTAACCGGATGAAAGTCACAGAACTAACAATCCCTATGAAAGGAGCTACTATTAACAAGCCCTTACCATGTACCAGCATAAGGCTAATCACTTTACGTGGCTAATCTCATTTGTTCCTCACAATAACTCTAAGTGGTAGGTATTATTATTCCCATTTTACAGATGAGGAAAATGAGGCTCAGAGATGCAGAGTAATCTATCTAAGGCACAGTAGTGGAGCTCCGTTCTGCTACCACTCTTGTTGGGGTGGTTTGTTACCATCTACCCTTTCTCCCCTGCACAGATACTAAGCCTATTTAATGTATTATTGGAGAAAAGAATAGGAAAATGGTTATGACTCCAGAAAGATTTGGGGAGGCATCACTGGTCTAAATTACCATGAGCCAATGACTGAGCAATTATTTATCAAAAGGAGGTTCCAACTAATTCTTTTCTATCTGAAAAGTAATAGAGACATTACTTATCAGATACGAAAAGACCAAGCTGATAAGTAAAAGGCACATTAAGGTGCAAGAGAGGGTGAGAGCCCAGTGAAAAGAGAAAATTGGGATAGGGTGAGAGAAGAGAGCACTCTCCTCTCAACACCCTGGAGACTGCTAAGAGCTCACACAGATAAAATATTTATTTTTCCATATGTTGCAGAAAGCATTGCCATCACTGTATGTGTGCAATATGTGCAAAAGAGTGTGAAATATATACATCAAATGCCGCTGATCTGGTTAATTTCCATGCATTTAACATGCTTAATACCTACCATATCATCAATATGTTTTAATGCATATTTCTTTCCACATACAATATGGTCTAGTTAGGAAGGAGCCAACATCCTCAACAGCCTTACTCACTGCTATGTTTCAGCCTAAAACTTCTTCCCGGGGCCAGCACAATGAGAGTTAAAAACCAGCAGGCTCTGCTGGGCTAACTCGGCCGCCAGTCTCCTTAGAACACCCTTCCAATTCTTGAAGCAGCCTTTTCTCATAAGAGAAATGTTTGCAGTGAGGAGATGAAAATGTTTTTGTTCTCCTTGGACAATCGGGAGATGTTCCGTCAGAATGTCAGAACTGGCCGTTGAAAGGCGGGTGCCTGTGGCCACGCTTTTTTTTTTTGAATGCAGAGCTCCACCAGTGTGGCGGGAGGAAGTGCACAATGATTGGTCTGTTTCTCTGTGGAAGTGTTCAGGGTACACCCAGTTTTGCTTTGCATATATTTACGAAACATCTGCCCTTTTCTTATTCTTAAGTCCTTCCCTCTCACCAGCCCCCTTTCCCCTTTTCCCTGGTTTCTTTCTTTGTTGTTGTTGGCTTGTCTAACTTTTTCATTGGAGCTTTCATTTTCCGGTTGAGGGGCGACTTCATCAGAGTGTATAATTTTAACAGAGAAGGTGGGGGAGGGAAGGAGGAGGAAATGGGGGGAGAGAGAGAGAGACAGAGAGAGAGAGAATGAGAATTGAAAAGAAAGAGACTGAGAGGCCAGAGAATTGAAAAGAAAGAGACTGAGAGGCCAGAGCCTGGCAAATCAACCTTTGGCATGGTGACCAGGAGGAAGGTTCTGGTCGGGAGTTTGCCTCTCTGAAATCCGCTGGAGTCAGCCAGTGCGCTGCTGCCCTCTAAAGGCTCCAGTGAATAGTGCATCGCCACAGAGGCTTGAAAAGACTTGCCCTCAGATGTGCCGTGTTTAAAATTCTTTTTATACAGCCCCAAAATGTATTTTCAATCAATTATGACAAGGCTTATTCTTCCCTCCTTAATAAACTATAAACTGCAAAAATGGGGTCAGTTCACAGCACCTGTGTATGTCCAGACATACACGGGTGCTATGTTTTAGGATTTCTCAGCTCCAGAAAAAGGGGTCAGAAGAACTATTAGAGAGGATGAGATAGGAAATAAATTGCCTCTGAGGATGGTGAGCAGTTCTCTGATATCTGCACAATTGGGAAACAGCCCAGTAGTATAAAAGTAAGTAAAGTGATATGAGACAAATGAGGCGGTAAGCCAAAAAGGTTGAGTTTTTAACATTTCTTATTTATAGAGGTAGTTCCAATGCCTCTATGCTATGTATATTCTCCCAAAGTGATCACTGAGGCAACAGGAGTGTGTGGTACAAGGTGTCAGGTAGGAAACAAGAGCGAATCTAGGCAAGGAAACAAGGGCATCAATAGGAAGAACAATATAAATTTTTGCAGTGTTAAAAATGAAAGAGTAATATTAATGGTTTGGCTATGCCCTTATGTTTAAAAGAAAGCTTCCCTAATTTTCTGAAACACACATCTGAAAGTATCCTAGGCGCTGCCTATGAATACCAAAAATAAACATTTTTTCTGCTAGTTGATATATGTCATTACTATTTCGTCCTTATATTTAAATGAATCATGACAATTAGCCTAGCCTTACTGAACAAAACAGTCCTGCTTTTATTAAATACCCCTCACAGACTTAAAGCAAAAGCAGCCAGTCAAGGTAGGTTTGCTACCTTGCTGCATAAAAAGTAGGAAACTTAACTGGGATTCAGACTATGACTATTCTTAAAATACACTTTAATGTCAGCTTTATTTCATTCCATCCACAATCAATTATTGAATGCCAGCTTTGTCTAAGCTACACTGCTTAACAGTATAGACGAGGCAGTAAACTCTGGGAAGGAAGGAATCAGGCCTGTTTTATTCTTTAGTCCGTGTTGGCACATCATGGCTACATCATAAATATTTGTAAAATGAATACGTAAATGAATGAATGACAGAAGAGAAGGAAGAAAAAAAGAATAGATGAACACGGGAATACAAAAATAACTAAGACATTTCCTTATTTTCAGAGAGCTTACAGTCTCATAAGAGGGATATGTACATAAATTGCCATTATTGAAATAAAATTTAGTGAGTGAAATAAGATTAGGGGAAAAAAAGAGCTTAGGTATTTCAGAGAAAGACCTAGGAAGAAATTAAATGTGGGGAGTGAAGTCCTATCTGGTAGGGAGGAATCAAGACAGTTAAAAAGCCGGAGATACTATTTAGTAAGTATGAAGGATAAGTATGATTGCAACAGGGCAGAGATGAAATACGGGCTATTCAAAGCAAGAGAAAGCTTGAGCAAAGCTGGAGAACCAAGAATGTGGATTCCCAGGATGCTCTAGGGGATATTCAAGAAATTTGAGGGTTCAGCGTGGCCAAAATATAGGACGCATGAGAAAAGTTAGAGGAGATACGGAGCCAACCTTGAGTGTCAGGCTAATGTAGTCATCTTAGATTTAGTGAATGCAAAGAAGCAGGACCCAAGGAGTGAAGGAGGATGGAGAGCCAGTTGGTAAACAATCAGCTAGATAAAAAACGATAAGGTGATTTCAGTGAAACTGGAATGGAAACACAGATGTGAAAAACAATATGAAGGAAGCAGAACTATAAGAACTTATTGATGAATTGGCTTTAAGGCAGAGGAAGGTGTATAGTGACCCTGAGTTTTCTAACCTGGTGGCAGATGACAGTGAGAGAGATAGGACCTTAGAGAAAGCATTGGTTTTAATAAAGGAGTTGGGCTTTAGCAACTTTGCTCTTGGCTCCATCTTTAAACTGAAAACCAGAATACCAGCTTCTTGGGGGTCCACATAGACACTCAAGATTTGGGGTTACTCTCATAATCACCATTCAACAAACAATTGACAAGGTCTTATAATTTGTTGCTTCTCTTATATTGCCTTCCTCCATGCTGAAAAAGATGTCTGAAAGCCTCCTCTATTCTAATCTTTACCATGCCATCTCTGCCTCCTGCCCTCTGAAGGAACAGATTTCATTTCACAACCTGTTGGACTGAAAACACAGCATACTAATCATAACACCATATTCTGCGAGGGCAGATTTAACTACCCAGTACAACAAATTTAAATACAAAATATTCTGCATAGCAAGTCCATTACCATGCTCACAGAAACAAGGGAAACATGGAAACAAATCTACTTACCACACATAGTTTTCTACAAATAAAAGAAATGCTTTTTCTGGTCACTATCCACATCATGATAGAAAAAGACACAAATCCAAGGGAATTGGGGAAATGTTCAGAAACTATTGCTAATAATCCAGTTTGACTGGGGTCTAGGGTACGTGTAGTATAAGCTAAGTGTTGGCTAATTTCATATCAGTTGCATTGTCCTGGGGAGAGGAGACCTGAGCTGACTGATAGCTGTGCTGTTTTACTTCCTATTCTTACCTCCTATAACTTTCTAATTCCCTTTACCCATCTCTTCCTCACATCTCAAACACACAATCACATCCTAAACTCCAGGACGATGCACTAAATCAAAAATCTTAGGCGTAGGATGAGTAAAGAGTTGGAGTAGAGAAATCTCTGCATGACACCTTCTCTCTTTAGCTACTAGAATCTAAGCTCTACTTTGACTTTTCACTTGCTACTCTCAGAAGCTTACATCACTACCCCCTCATCTGTACTGCCTGCAAATTTAAATTGTGATTTGAAATTTTATTGATTTAAAATAAAATCTAAATAAGAGCAAGAAAGTTGGATGTTCCATAATGTATTCCATGAGTAGAAATTTAAAGTTGGAAGGAACCTTTAAGGCCTTCTAATCCAAGCCCTTTATTTTACAGATGAGGAAACTGAAGCCCAGAGAGGTGAAGTGAGGTGCCCAAGGCCACACAGCAAGTTAGAGACACAGCTAGTACCGTAGCTCAAGTCTCCTGACTCCCAGTCCAGTGCTCCTCCCATTACTCCACGAGTCCTGTCTCTAAGCTTCCTGACAAATGCTAGAACGGTAAAACTTCCACTAGTATTTTTCCAGACCATGTTAAAACTCCTAAGGGGGGAAGAGGGATGCTTTCTTGGATAATGTCAGCCATACGTAGCTCAAGCTGTCTAAAGTTCTGGGACAGGGTCTTTTTATGCAGCCAACAGAGTCCAAATGTGGTGCTGTTTTCTTGGCCCATATGCTTTCATGTGTTCCCAGTTAGGCCATTACTGGAGGGAAAAAAAACAAGAATCAGCTTGTTTTAAAACAAGGGACATACTGGACTCCCTCCCATCCCCCTTCAGAAAAAAAAATCAAGTTATCTTTAACAGATTCTAAAAATGCCTTTTCCCAAATATGCAGTCAGTTCCTTCAAAGGGCCCTTTGTTTATTTTCAGGAAGAAACCCAAGACAGCTGAAAACCAGAAGGCATCTGAGGAGAATGAGATTACTCAGCCTGGTGGATCCAGCGCCAAGCCGGGCCTTCCCTGCCTGAACTTTGAAGCTGTTTTGTCTCCAGACCCAGCCCTCATCCACTCAACACATTCACTGACAAACTCTCACGCTCACACCGGGTCATCTGATTGTGAGTACACCACTAAGGTGATGGTGTCTTCGCAGTGCTTGGAATAATGCTTCTCCCCTGGGTTCTGGCTTTTTTACTTTCGGAGCAAGCTGTTTGCATTTGGTCTTCTAAAGCAGCCAAAAGGAACGTGCCACCATTTTCATTCAGCCAACATCTATATATTTTAAAAGCTAGCATATATTTAAAAGCCAGGTGACAAGCCATTTGACCTTAAAGGGCTGATTAATTACATAAACCACGTTCTTTTCCTAATGCTAACTCAGAAAAAGAAGTTTTGTTACCAGGGCCTATTTATTCTTGATCTGGATAACGGCTCTTCCACGATTACTAAATTGAACATCCAAACATGGACCTCAGAGGCCAGTTAGACCCAAGGAAACATCCATTTTGAAATTACATAACACAAGTCAGAATTGCATTCGTTATTGGAGTCTCATGTAGCTTGGCTGAATTTCTGTCTTTCCAGTTTTTAATTTATTTTGAAGTGGTTAAAGGATAGCATAAATTTACAGAAGAAAAGAGAATGGCTTCCAAGAATTCAGAAGCCACCCAGACTTCACATAGCCAATGAAAATCCAGGTTAAAAATATTTTTTAATTAAAAAAACTGCCTAAGGGCTAAATTTGGAAATGGGCAGCTTAATGCGATCGTCGCTATTGAAATCACTTCTTTGCTGTTTATTTTTGCCATCTTCCCACTAATCTGGGAGTCACTTCTTCTAATTCTATTTTAAGCAAGTTGATAAATCACGTTTAGAAGATTTTTTTCTCTTTCTGAAATGTAACCCAATACTTCAGAGAAAAAGAAACATGTGTGTTGACAATGAAAAGGAATGAAATAACTTTGGAGTCAAATCCAAAAGAATATTCCTTTTAGTCTTAAGATACCCAACAATTCTTCTGAACTGATCTCCGTACACGATGGCTGGTAACATTCAAATAACTGGCATATTTTTTAAAATGAGTAACATAAGACCTGCAAAGTTTTATTTCAAAAATAAAATTCTGTCCACAAAGACAAAAATTATTAATTAGGAAATAATTGTTATTTTTCTGACAGAACAAATGTAAAATTCTGCAAAGAAGGCAAGAGACAAATTGGTCCAGGAGATTCCATTCTCTACTTGCTTCATCCTGATAGTCTTTGAATAGAGGGAAATGACCTGGGGCAGGGTTGAGGTGAAGGGAGCTTGTACTACCTAAGGCTGGACTAAGACCATCTAGCCGTCACTGGAAAATAAAAAGGGAAGTAACGTGAGCCAAATATCTGTGGCCCAAGAGATTTGAACAAAGTTGCGGCTTCTATAGAGAAACCAGGGGGCAGGAGCAGGGATTGTGTCCTGAGGACCGTCCTAACAGTCACGTCCTTGGACCTTCTTGCCTGGCAGTCTCCAGCGTAATAGTAAAGACAGAACTGGAAAGTAGCATGGCACAGTGCCCACAGGCATGTGCACACCGTCCCTTCCCACCAGGAAAACAGCCCGTTCGTGTAGTGAATGGGCTATTTTCTACATGCAAATCTTCATTACCTGGCTTTATGCCACACCTTATGGGTGTGGATTACCTAGAATTGCCTTGGCCCAGAAATCTTCTGTTACTGCAAAAATAAATGTTTTGCTGAATAGAAAAAGCATTGGGTTTCATATTGTGCTTTATCATGAGCATCCTCTGGCCAGGCCCTAGCATTAGCATGAAGTACGTTTAAGGAAGAGTGTGAGTATGGTGTCACCATACATCTCCTTGGTGGCCCTGAGGAAGTCAGTGGATGTGAGCTCAGTTGGAAGAAAAAACGAGGAGGGGAAACCTGATCTCCAGCTGTTTAGAAAGTCACTTTGATTTTTCCATTAAGATGTGTAAGTCTGCTCTGTTCCAACCTGTTGTTTAAATTGATTATACTTTTCTCCAAATATATTTGGACTGTAGTTTGTCCTGATTTGAGCCTACACTTAGAAGAAAATTGTTTTTAGGAAAGATTCACAGAAATCTGTCCATTTGGAGATTGCTTGAGAGAAGACAGGAAAAAGGTTTATTTTAAGCTGTTAAAATTTTTGGATGCTCTTCTTGCATTCAAGAGGATTTTTTTTTTTTTTTACTTTCAAATGTCATTCTTACCATAGATTAATTTAAAAGCCTAATTTCTTTAAGGTAAAATATTCAGTTCCTATTTAGAACTAACAGATTTGGGGCATTTAAAAATAGTGCCCTTGACTTGTTAGTCTCTTTAACTTCAGAAACATTCCACCAGTGTGTGGTGTTCCAAGCTTTCACAAGTGCCTGAATTTTTATAGCACCTTTTTATTTGTCATGTGTTTAGCAAAATTATTCTTAGTCAAGATTTAATGCCCATTTCCTGTCAGTATGATCCTTCCCAATTTACAGATGAGAAAACTGAGAAAATTGACACCCAGGTAGATGAAAGACTTGCTTGTGGTTAACTCATTTGAGTGTTTATGGATTTGCTCTCATTGTGAGAGTGTTTCTTACTGGAATTCTCTATCGAGCCCAAAGATGGCATTCCTGGCTCTGAACAGGCATCTTCAAAATGTGCAACTACTCATATTGGTGACTGGGTTGTAAAACATGATGGATAAAGCATCCTTACAAAAGAAAAGTCGGCTCTGCATAGGAACTGACATGGGTGGGTAGGCCACAGTCTTTTTTGCATATGAAGGACACAGGCTGTTTTACAGCAAAGATGACAAGTCTGACCCCTTAAATTCTCAGTTGGCTATTTAACCTACTGCGCCTCTTCAAATTTGGCAAAAGATCCCAGTAATACTCAAAACAAGAAGAAATACAGTTGAGATATGCTTTCTTTTGTGGGATGATGAGGTTAATATTGCTGCTAATATGTATGTTGCTTTCCAGTGTGGCTACTAACACAATTTCCTTTTAGCAATATTCCCCCTTTACCTCCTAGCTTATCACCTCTTCACCATTGCTGAAAGCTAATGGTAAGCAAATTCAGATGGTGATAATGGAAGGCATTAAGATGAGTTATGGAATCTGAAGGGTAAAAAACACCCTAGGTGTTTGACAGAGAAGTTACCCACTAAACAGGCTGAATATGAGCTGAGCCAAGTGCTCCCTTTAAATGCTTAAGCAGGACTAAACCAAGTCAGTAAAGCAGATGAAGCTCTCCATATGAAAAACCTTTCTTGACAGCTATCAAGCTGTAGCACATCACAGTCATATACATGTGATAGACGTGACCAGAACTTTTACTTGCATATTTCTTCCATTTTGTTTTACCCCAAATAAGGCTCCCATTGAAAGAAGTGATTTTCCTCTCTGCGGCAGTCCTCGCTACTTCTGCTGTGGAGCCACCTATTCTGATGTCTTTCTTTTGTTGGAAGCTGATATCCGTGGTGACTTACCTTCCTATGTTTTACACCGGCCTCATCAGATTGTCTCTTTTTTTGTGTCCTTGCCAAGATGCACTTACCCATGAACAGTTTTTATTTATTTTTCACTGAACCTTTACACATTACCAAACTGTCATGTGGGTGGATTTAACTTTAGCTCTATAGGTAGCATCACTCTGCTGGGGCTGGACACTCACAGAGGCCGGTGGGCTCTCCCTTTTCCAACTCTTGCCATCCGCCTTCCTTGGCCTCCCCCTCCCAACCATTTGCTTTACCCGCCCAAGTCCCTGTGATTAAAATTTTTAGTACACTTGGCTCATTTTGAACTTTTAAGCAATTTTTTAGAGAACAAAACAAAGAGGATTTTTATGGCAAACTCCATTAATGCCACATTAAGGCTGACATTTTAATTACCCCAAAGTCAGGAAATGCAAAGTTCAGGTTCCCACAGCAACAGAAACTGTCCCCTTGAGTGCTGGCATCACAGCAGATTCTTTCATTCCCTGATTACACAACACCGGGCGTGGGGACATTGTTTTTATCCACGTATGTGGAAAGGAACACAGCTTTTATCCTTTCATTTTTTTTTCCTGTAACTACAGTTGAGGATATGGGTCTTTAGCTTCCCTCCCAAAACCATCTATATGTATTATCCTGGAACGGAAGACTATTATAGCTCTACATGTGCACACGGACAGAATTAAAGTTGCTGTGGGAACATTAACTCTGATTTCCGGACTTCCGTGCCAGTCACATTTAAACCATAATGTTGTAATTTTTGGCATGTAATAAATGTGCATTTCATGTACACAGACAGAAAGAAGCATAAAATGTATTTTAAAGAGCAATTAATTACTAACTTTGTGATTAAAAAACATTTGGTGCATGTTCCTTCCCATTTAGCATCAGCTGCTGGTCTTAGCCAGGCCTAATAGATGACATACTGTGTCTCATCCTGTAACTCAGATGTACTTACTGTATGTTCCTGTTCTTCCAGATAATTAATTCCCTTAGTAAAGCTGTAGGGGGAAAACAAAATGGAAGGAATATGCAAGCATGTAAATAGGGTAAGGGATATTTTGAAAGAAATGATTCATTTCTGAAAATAAACCTTTTAGTCCCTGATAATGAGCCAGAAATCTGCTAAGTGGGTGTAGACAAAGGTTTCTGGCCACCTTAGAGCATCTGGTTCTGGGCCATAAGAACAACTTGAAAGCAGATTTCCCCTTGAATTCTAGGCATGCCCACTGGGGGAGTAATTTTACTCTAAAAACTTTTAGGCTTAAGGCTTAAAAAGTTATTTTACTCTATAACAATTTTTATTCTGTAACAACTTTTTTATGCTGTATTCGAACTGGAAAGTAAAAGTTATAGGGCACCGGTAAGATGAGGGTTTTGCTAAAGAACCCCTGACTTAAAGAGTAATGTTTTTTCTTCCTTTACATTTAAATCTGGTTTACCTATTTGTGGTAGAGAAGGAAGTGTTTCAAAATAACTGAACGGGTTTGTGAGTGAAAGGAATTAGTAGCAATAGTCTATGGTGCCATATTTAAAAATGTGAATGCTTGAGTATATATTTGAATCCAGATGAGATAAACATTTTACTGAAAGGATGTATAGCTTAAACTCTAGGAAAGACTTTAAGGGAGACACGCTCAATGAAGAACCTCTTGCTGTCTGTTCGTTCTGTCTCCTTTTGTGTATTTCTTTTTGATCAATTTGGTTGCATATGATATTTAACCTTTAAGAAAGATACATCAGTTTTAGAAGGCTCTGATTTGCTTTTACTTGGGCTGTCTCTATGTGTGAATGTAAGTCTGTATGAGTGAAAACTGCTCAAGCAAGTGTGAAGGTCTCTCTGGCAAATTTGACTGCACGTTCAGGAAGTTTCCAATCAGAAAGCTGATTCAGTGTAAAACCTTCCAAAAACTTCCTGAGGCACCTGTTCACATGAAAAGATTGGATTCCTGTTGGAGGTGCTCAGAAGGCAGTGTTTACAACTGAAGATCTCTGTTTGGTGTGCCAAAAAATGAAAAACATTTTGGCCCCAGAAAATCTCCATAAATGTTCAAAATGTATAATCAAACAAAAGCTTCATTTGGATTCAAATGCATGTATCTCAGCAGATGTGTCTAAACTAACTGGAATCCCACAGGAGCAGCTGAACTGGATTTTGGTATGTCTTGATAACTGAAAGAGTTATTCTTAGACTTTGGAAGGACAAAAATGGTCCATCTGTGAAGAACCGTAATAGAGACATGGCAAAAAACAGCATCCTCTGAAAGAGTTTATTTATGGAATTTAGGACAAGTTGGACAATCCTGAAAACATTTTAGGGTCACACTAATTTGCAGAGAAAATATAGCCAAAATGGAGTGGAATAACAGCCACAGACAGTTACTATCCAATGGCTTGTTATTAATTTTTTAATAAATTCCATATCAGTTAAGCAATAATAGAGCATTTTGGTATGACTAAGTGCGCTCGTTGCCCCAAAAGTATCCTGCATTCTGGTTTATTCTATGTCCTGTAAGGACTTAAAGACTTATCTTTTCATTTAAACTGTTTTTCTGTCATTTCGTTAGCCAAGTAAGACCCTCATCTGTTAAGTGTGGATTTTATGTCATTAAAGATAGTCTTTCCCTTTTTAAAAAGTCACCTTTCTACCTCTTAGTTAATTGATATATAATCTCTTTGGAATTTTTTCGTTACCTTTTATGCCCTTTATTTAGAGATTTTAGTGAGTGCTTAGTCTAGCACTTACACATTAGAAAGCCAGTTCATATTTTTTTTTCATGTGCTCTAATTTCCTAGAGTTTCCACTTCATGTATTTGGGGACATGCTTATTTTTAAAAAGCACAGGTCTTGAAATTTTGTATCTTAATCTACCTCTGCTTTTAAAATTGGCCCTCTTTTTATAAAACATATTATTTCCCTATAATACCAATTTAATTGGGTTTCTTCCTTGGTCACTTAATGCAGTAATTTCTAGTAGTCATTCTTAATCATTCATTCATTTAGTAATTAATTCAGTCATTGATCAATGTTATCTAACCCCTCCTTCTGCACCAAGTCCTCAACTAATGTTAGGGGTGAGAAGAGAAATAAGATCCCATTTCCAAAGTTTAGGAACATAAAGGGGTAAATACAAACGCAGAATTAAAGTGTTCCAGTATGCACAGAATGCTACAGAGCTCCTGAGGAAGGAGCCTATTGCAGTGGAAAGAGCTCCACACCAAAAATGCCATTAAACTGGATCATAAAAAAGTGGGCATTTGTAAAGTCGAAGGCAGAAGGAATGGCATTCCAGGTAGAAGGAACAGAAAGAAGCAAAACTACTGAGGCTCAAGGAAAGCGCAGAGTTTTCAGAACACAGAACAGTTCAGTTATGACACTGAGGCCTTCTTATACTTTGCCTCATTTTAATCATGGGACAATTTGTATTTGAGTAACATTGTCTGTTGTTATAATTCAGGTGAGCTGACTCCTATGTCCATTTCAGAGATACTTGCTTTCCAAATATGTAATAAAGCAAGACACCCACTTTTTTTTTTTTTTTTTTTTTTGAGAAGGAGTCTTACTCTGTCACCCAGGCTGGAGTGCAGTGGCATGATTTTGGCTCACTCCAACCTCCACTTCCCGGGTTCAAGTGAATCTCCTGCCTCAGCCTCCCAAGTAGCTGGGATTACAGGCACATGCCACCGTGCCCAGCTAACTTTTGTATTTTTAGTAGAGAGAGGGTTTCCCCATGTTGGCCAGGCTGGTCTCAAACTCCTGGCTTTGTAATCCACCCACCTCGGCCTCCTTAAGCACTGGGATTATAGGCATGAGCCACCACACCTGGCCCCACTTATTTTCTAATAGGCAAAAGCACCCTTTCGTCCACAAAGCCAGTCAAAGTAAGAAAGTATTCTGAGGGACCTAGTGATGATTTTGATCAGTAAATCTCAAAATAAATTTTCTTTTTCTTTTTTGTTTAAATAGGGTCTGGCTATATTGCCCAGGCGGGGGTACAGTGGTGCAATCTCAGCTCACTGCCACCTCTGCCTCCAGGGCTCAAGTAATCCTCCTACCTCAGCCTCCTGAGTAGCTGGGAACATCACATCCAGCTAGTTTTGGGGGGTTTTTTTGTTGTTGTTTTGGTAGAGACGAGGTTTTGTCATGTTGCCTGCCTGGTCTCAAATCCTGAGCTCAAGCAATCTGCCTGCCGTGGCCTCCCAAAGTGCTGAGATTACAGGCATGAGCCACACCTGGCTGAGAATAACTGGTTATTGAGACAAGTTCATTCCTGGAGCCAGAGTCACCTACAGGTGTCATGCTAGAACTTTGTCATTGATTTGTGGCCCCTCCAGACTCTTAATCGTCTGTCTTCTTGTGAAATCCTCCCAGGTCCCTTGGCAGGTCTGGTCTCAATGCTCATTGGCCCAAGTTACTACACTGTGCCATATTGCTCTCCAAACATTGCATAGATATGATTGTCCATATGCAATTGTTAGGGCCCACCACTGATTTTCAGGGTTCTATTCTTCATCTTGCCATCTCATCACATGCAGGAATACATCTTTAATTCTTAACTACAGCCACTAGTGACAGTTTCATGTATGCTTCCTCTGATCGTGGCAAATTTCATTATATAAAATTAGTGCTTCTCCATATCTGTCAAGACTTCTCACATCCTTATTAAAATAAAAGAAGCCACATGCACTACTGCCCTTAGAGTTGGATCATTTAGGATTGATTGAGAGCATGCATGAGGATTCTTTAAGGACTTCTTGCTTTAAGGAAATTTCAAGTCGGTTCTTTCCACCAATCACCTTACACTAGGTACCATAATCAAGTACCTTATTACTTCATCAGCAGAATGAGCACTTTATGGTTTCTTTTCTGCTTTTCTTCTGCCTCTGAACCCTTTATTCTCTCTGAGGAATGTGTACCAATTCTAACTTTTTATCAGCAATGCAAGAAGAAAGTTTACCTGGTCTATACCCATTATTGTACACATGAGAAAACTGGAAGTGTTATCAAAAAACTTTCACAGCATAATGAGTAACAGAGTCAGAAACAGAATCCTGCCCTTTCTCCCATCATTTATGCTACCTGCTAAATTTAAGTCTGCTTCTGGGCAAATTTAATGTTTTCTGAACAGAAAGGAGTCAGGACTATTTAATCCATCGATATAGTAGATGCTTTCAATGTGGAAGACCACAGGCTAATTATTGTGCAAGATGCAGTTTTATAAACTGAAGCTCTATGCTCAGACTTAGAGTTTTATTGAGAAGATCAGATAACATTCACAAACAACTTCCATGCAGAGTGGTTAAAGATATGTCCCTGTACACAGAGACCCACCAGAGCATTGATTCATTCACTCAGCAAGTATGTATAGAATATATCTTTTGTGCCTGACACTACAGTGAGTTCCATGAGGTCACAAAGGTGGAGAAAAACAGACTCCACCACCAAGAATCTTAAAACAATACATGTCCTCACATCACCAGTATCTGAGAATTTAGAAAGTTTGTAAAGTAATATTTTAATCCAGTTAACAGTAATATATAGTTAGGTTTATTAGAGATGGTTCCATTTGAGCTCTTTTGAAAGACTGGAGGTGAGGCATTAGGATTAGGTATGAGGGGTTTGCACTTTGCTGCAGAGCTGTAGAAGGGTATTAAGTAGGGCCTGCCATGATCAAGACTTTAGGAAGATCTAATTTAGCAGCCTGGATGTGAGAAGGAGTGACCATGATCAAGACTTTAGGAAGATCTAATTTAGCAGCCTGGATGTGAGAAGGAGTGACCCTTGAAAGGGACCAGACAGCACTGTCAGTAGTTTACACTATTGGTGACCTGAAGAGGGCTGGTAATAAGAGGGATGTGTAGCATGCATGCAACAGATTTTGAGGATGAAGGTAGACAGCTCTGGGAGCTGAGTGTTGGGTACAACAAGGGCAGTTATCAAAGATAACTTCAAGATATCAAGAAAAGATGAAAGGCATTTAAAGGAATTGAATAGAGTTCCATTTCATATAGTGCTGAGTATGAGCTACCACACATGTTCCCAGGGGAGACAACTAACAGAGTTGCAAACAGGGTCCTGGGGCACAGCAGGAATACTTGAAATTAGGACTAGCAAACACTTTGGCCAGGAGGCCACACTACAAGTCATAAATATGGGAGTAAACTTCAAAGTAGTCTTTGTTAAGAGAAAAAAGGAAAGCAAAATCTTGGGAAATATTTACAGGAGTGATAAGCAAGAGAATGAAGAATGAATAAAAAGAGGAAAAGAAAAGGGGGGGTCGAAGAGAGAGGAGAAAAAACAGGATAGTGCAGAAGGACCATCAGGGAGAGGAAGGGTCAGCAGTTAGTATCAGGTGTCACAGATACCAACAAGGGAGAGACCTAGGAAGAGATTACCTTGGGTTCTGGGATTGCCAGCTTCCTGGTTGCTGCTAAGAAAGCAGAATCAGATGCGTCACAAAAAAGACCATAAAGAGGGGTTCAGGAGCAAACATAGGATAAATGGGAAAGCAACTATTACAATGTACTTTTTAAAGAAGTTTAATGTTTTAAAAAGAAACAAGGAATGGGTAACTCACAAGTGGAGTAATGAATATTTTTATGATACAAGAGTTTCTAGCCCATTATAGACTGAGAAAAACCAGTGTTAAGGGAGGCTCTGCAATTAAATAGGCAAGGTGAGAGGGAACTAGATCTTCCATTTCACAGGGCAATTGCAATGGTCAATATATGTAAAAGGAATTTGAAGGCACTGCCCAAGCCCAATGAGGCAGTAATTAAATTATATTGTTTCTTTACTTCTTTTCAAAATTGCTTTCTCTTCTTTTTAACTAATGAGAAATAATGTTTTGCAAGAATTATTACTTCGCAAATATTCACTCAGTTCCTTACCCTCAGTGATCTCTGAACACTAAGTAGAGGATAGGTGTCATACACTTTGAGCATTTAAATTATCTTAACAATTTTTAAAACCATTTTTAAGAACAATTGTTGTTTTTAAAACAACAATTAAAGCCTAATCCTTTAAAAGCCATCTTCTGTGTACTTCTTTCATGATATGCCCAATTCAGGTAGCTCTGTAATTACCAATAACACACCTATGTGTTGTTCTCAAGTCCTCCTTCATTGTCATGAGACATCATCAAATTCGTCATTTGTAGGGGGTTTTGAATTTGTTTTGTTAAACTATGCTGCTTTCTGTGATGGTCCAAGACATTCCAAAGGCCACTGCCACCTGGACACAAAGTATCTGATATACTTCTACTTTAGGATGGTGATCTGGAACCAACTGAATCAAATGTTACTTTGTTCTATTAGTAAATTACCTGTAAAACTAAATAAGGAGGTTATTTTGTCACTGCTGAAAGTTATATAAATAATCATATGGAAGAATTTTGAACATGAGTCTTATAATCTCACAAGGCCAAATGAATTCATTGTTGATGTCAAAATTGACCTTGAGGAGTTTTCCTTTCCTCTCCAATTCTAAAAATGAGTTTCCTCCTACTTATTTATCCTCACTAGTTTTAGCTTGGTTATGTTATCAGTTTTACACCAAGATATTAGACCAAAGTGTACAGAATTTTTAAGAAAGTTTGGGTGGCGTGCAGAATATTACACAGAGAATTTCAAGAAACAATAATTGAATTAACTTTGTCATTCCATTTTTTTTTTGCTGTATTCACTTTCTTTCCTATGTAATCACTTACTTTCTTTGTCTCGTATCTGAACCAGGAATTTAGATGTAAAGGAGATAATGAAAGGTGCGTGTAAGTTTGAACTACAAAACATAACTCTGTATCTAATGGAAAAGACACGTGCAAATTCTGAAATAAAACTTTTAGAAGTTAACCCCAGAGGAAAGGATGCACACCATTTTCTGGGGGAAATACTGTAGGTCTTTACATGTAGGCCTGAATGGACTTTTTCCCATTTTTAGGAAACCTCAGAAATCTGGCCCTTTCCATTTTATTCTTGACCTAAAGGTCCCAGATGGGTGACTAGATCCTGGGATTCCTGAAATGGCCTAAGTAATTCTGGGTTGACATGCTGACTGGCACTGCAAAGCAGGCCTGGTTTCACTGAGCAGTGATACAGGCAAAGCATAGGCCCACCGCCCGGCCCTGCTCCAGATTTTGGACTCCACTGGTACCATGTCTGGGCCTTTCTCTTAGAGGTTCGTATTCTTTCCTGCATGTTGTTCTGGGACACTGGTTTAAAGATTTTGTTGTATTGGGGTCAGAGAACTGAAAGAAGGAAAAAACCACTTCCCCAGGACATATCCTAATCAGAATCTGCATCCTCAAACCTGGCCCCCAAGAGTGAACTAAGCAAGGAGGAGAAGTCCCTGTGACTATCCCAATGCAAAGTGGCTCCTGATACCCTCTGGGATCCCTCCAATATGCCTTCGGGGCAGGGGCAGATATGATAACAGGCTACTAAAGCTGTTTCTTGAACATGTTCATAATGGACTAAGATGGGGCTATGCCTTATTTTCCAATATTCAGAAAATATTTTTTCACACCTAGGGTCTAGTTATTTGCTTTTATTGACATGAACTTCAGCCTATAAATGCATTTTATGTGCCTTTAATTAACCTCCCTATGTTTCCATTTCCTCATGTGCATAATCGCATAATGAGAATAAAAATAATATCCATCTCATAGGGTTATTAGAAGGATTCAGTGAAACACCATATGTAAGGCCCTTAAAGCAGCACCAGAGAAACACCCAGCACTCCATGTTGAGTGTAGGCTACAGTTGAAGTGTTTTAAAATTACTAATATGAACTAAATTGATAAAAGAAAGCAAAATCAGTTGTGTCACAAAAAAAGACCATGGAGAGGGGTTCAGGAACAAACATAGGATAAATGGGAAAGTAACTATCACAAAGTACTTTTTAAAGATGCTTAATGTTTTAAAAAGGATTTTACAAAGGATAGGTGCACTATCCTTTCCCTGTGAGAATGATAATGAAAAGCCCTAGATCTATAGGAGAAGAATGTGTGTAAGAGAGTTACCTCCTTCACTTCAAGGAAAAGCCAGTGCCCCTCTGTTTGTCCCTTCTTGGATTCAAACCTACGTAGACTGGGAAGCTTCTCCATTATCTCTTTGCCTTCTTTTATCCTACCATTTGTATTGTCTTTTTTTTTTTTTCTAAAAATGAAAGAGGACTGATATGCATCATCTTATTCTTACAAAACACCCCATTTTACAGACAAGGAAATTGGAACTCAAATAAGTTTCAAAATCTCTCTGAATGTTGTCTTCTTGGCATAGGGAAGGGTTAGAGAATTATTAATATTATAGCATTACATTCTAGTGTTAATCTATTAATTTCCTTCTTGTCTTCAAGTGTATTCTAGTGAATAAGAGATTTTCAAGCTGTGCCCAGCGGCTCATGCCTGTAATCCCAACACTTTGGGAGGCCAATGTGGATGGATCACTTGAGCCCAAGAGTTAGAGACCAGCCTAGGCAACATAGTGAAACCCCGTGTCTACAAAACAATTAGCTGGGCATAATAGTGTACACCTGTAGTCCAGCTACTTGAGAGGTTGAGGTGGGAGAAACACCTGAGCCCAGGAAGTCAGTAAGCCATGATCATGCCACTGCATTCTTCCATGGGTGACAGACAAAGACCCTGTCTCAAAAAAAAAAAAAAAAAATTAAAAAAACGGAGAGAGATTTTCAAATTATAGGGAATGGATATATGTGCTATCTTACCTCAGAACACATTGTAGGATATGTGCATTCACCTATGTGCACCCATCTGCAATCTGTCCATTTCACCTTAGGTGCCCTTTCACCAAAGCACCTTCCAGCTGGGATACCCAAAGAGAGCAAATCATCAGATCTTTAGAATGAGCAAACTTCTATGCTACCATATTAGAGAGCCTTTTGCAAAGAGAAATACTTACAAGTGAAGAAATCCATCTTTTATTTTTTTGAAAGTCAGTCTGCTTGATGGTTTGAGAGTTTCTGAAATAATTCAAAATAGAGGTAAGCTTAGAAGAGTGAATGAGTTTCACTTCCAAAGAAGATTGCCTGTAATCACCCTGCTTACTTACCTTCTTCCACTCTGAAGCTGTCTGCAGTAGTTGGAAAAAGTGTAATCTTAAAAAATTCAGTAACAGTCACTGGCTGACTATACCTGGGATACCCTCCCTATTCAGTGGTGCTCACAGTTTTTGGTGATGCATGGAGATAATTTCAGATGTTTGCTTCTCTTAACTCCTGAGCACTTTTGCTTCTCACTGTAGAATTCCAGAGACACATCAGTATAAAACTTGATTTACAAGCCTCCTAGTAATAGTTGCAGATTAGATAGAAAGCCAAACTAGACTGTACACAAGTCTGTATAAATCCCAAAACAGAGCTTTAAAATAATAACTTACTGAGTCATGATTTCTGCATCTCATATGCAGTATTCCTTAAATCACATGTTGATGGCTAATCAACAAAATCCAAAGACGCAAATTAGATGGTACAATATTTACAGAGAAAATATATGTGTAGTTTGAAAAGCAAGGATTCTCAGGGTTACACTCCCACCCCTATTCCCCCTAGAAATGATAGCAGTTGCAATCTGAACTCTCAACATTGTAGCCAAGAAAGGAATGAATATAACAATTTAAAAAAAGAGACTTAAGATAGAACTTCTTAGTCAAAGGAGTCTGGACCTTCAAGAAATATGTTTAAGAAAGATTCGGAAGAAATACTAGGTAAGATGAATTATTCCTTTTCCTCAAATAGCATTCTGGCAGTGTACTTGTTAAATGTTTATTTTGGCCAGGTGACAGAATTCAGAAGAGCAGAATCTTGTTTAGCTTGTCCACTGCTGAATGCCTAGCACCCAGCAAAGTGCTTACACAAATTAGGAGTAGGTGCTCAGCAAGTGTTTGTTGAATGAATAAGTGAATGTGGTGGGGAGAATGAAGCTAAAGTAATGGTATAGTGCATTTGTAAGCATTTAGCCCATTTATAAAAATATAGGTACTAATTTTTTACCCAATTCTTTTTTTTTTCATTCAGCAGACCTACAAAAACAAAACAAAGTGTATCACAAATACCCTCTGCTTTTTATGCTGAGGAAACAGAAAAGCTTTCTTTTGATTGTAGGCTGCTACATGTTTTAATTCTAATAGCAATATGGCAGGTCAACTTTGTAGTATAATCTGGTGCCTGTTTTTGATAGATATCATGGAAATAGATACTTATTTTCAAGATGCTCAAACAGATGATTAGGCGAAAGCTCTAGCAAACCTTGAAACAACAAAAAGAAAAGGTTTCCCACTCCCACCTCCCGTTGCTGTAACATCCTGCACAGTTTTCTGCAACCCCACATCCTCCTCCTTGTTTCATCCTTTTCCTGGGTCTAGTCTTTGTCTAGGGAATACAGCATGTGACTGTCAGTCTAGCAAGGAGACAGTTCTTGAGAAATCCACCCCCTACACACTGTGTTCCCAAGCTCCTCTTACGGGAATGGCATGATTTGATCAGCAGCAGGCAGAGCTGGCCCAGCGAAACAAGAGCTTGGCATAGAAATCGTAGTGCCCTCCTGCTGGTAGGGCCCTCAAGAGAGTTGCTTCATGCCCACCCTCCCTCAACTGGCTGGACAGTAGAAGGATGTGTAGGAAAACAAATTCCTGGCTGAATGAATAGAGGATTAAATGAATGAGAGATGAGTTCACTCCTCCAGAAGTCCCCGCCATCCCACTTGAATAGAAAGGCTAACTTTGAAGCCACTCTGTTCTCCATGGCGCTATTTTGTGTATACTCAGCTTTGGAATATGGTTGCCATCTGCTGCCAGTGCTTAGGACTAAGGAAGTATTGGGGTGGGGAGGAGGAGGCTGGGAGGGAAGAAAAGAGACACTTAAAATGAGCTAATGATCTCCTTTGTGTTGGAGTCTAGGTTTCAGAGCATCAGTCCTGTACTTCAAGAACAAAACACCAGTGTGTCTTAGACCACACCAGGCGCCTGCACATCAGATAAAGACTGTGCTGTGTGGTGTTCAGCCACTGGGCCTGGAGAAGTTCTAAAAGTGAAATTACAGGTGCAAACTGAGGAAACTAAAAGGAGAAAAGGCCAAGGGTAAAATACAATTAGGAGGGCTCTGCAGATATGTGTCTTTGGGGTTACAGTAGTTGAAAAATGAATCTACTAATTAATGAGTTGGATAATACTATAAAGACAAGGTATGTAAGGATCTTTAGAAGAAATGACACACTTTTCCATACACTCTGAGTACATTGCAAGCCTTTAGTGTAATCTCAAGGTGAAAGTGACCTGGCTGTTGTGTATTGCTGTAGATTTAACTAGAAGTGTTACAGATTGCTATACTAGAGGCATGCATGGTGCTCCTTTAAAAACAGAAAAGGCTGTTAAGCAAAGCCATTAAGACAACTGAACATCTCTGAAAGGCAGCGAATAGCTCATAGAGCTTCCTGGCTTCCCTGATATTGTTTGTATAAATTGTTGGGGGGTTTTGTTTGTTTGAGAGAGAGTCTCACTCTGTTGCCTAGGCTGGAGTGCAGTGGCATGATCTCAGTTCACTGCAACGTTTGCCTCCAGGGTTCAAGTGATTTTCCTGCCTCAGCCTCCTGAGTAGCTGGAATTACAGGCATGCACCATCATGCCCAGCTAATTCTGTGTTTTTAGAAGAGATGGGGTTTCATCATGTTGGCTAGACTGGTCCCAAACTCCTGACCTCAAGCGATCCACCCACCTCAGCCTCCCGAAGTTCTGGGATTACAGGTGTGAGCCACCAGGCCTGGTCAAATTGTTGGTTTTTGATGCAAAATCATGTTAATAATTTATGTACTGAAATAACATGCCAGAGAATAATAATTAAGCTGCGGATGTATGCTAGTGAAAAAAAAAATGACAGTGAAGTTTACTTTGGGAAAGGATTAGCTAATTCCCTAGGTATGACATTTGAAGGCCATGTACTATTATATGTTCAATAGTAATCCTGTATCTTGAATTGGAGGAAGGCAGAAATTGTTTTTGCCATGCAAGGGAAGAACCACATCAGCGATGTAGATAAGTATAAATTTAGAGACAATGACAATCCTAGAAATGCAAAATACCACTTTAGGGAGCACTAAGTGATTGCTGAGCAGTGTGTCACACTCAGTGCCTGGGAGCAGCAAATCAGTACATATTTGTTGGCTGTGTAAGCTCTGGCCTAGACTCCTGTCTTCCAGCAGGAACCAGTCATGCACAACTGTGACTCAGCCACAATTAGAATATTAGTAATGCATTAAATCTCTCTCATGTACAGTTTCTCTTCCTAGAAACCTTATGTCCCTCCATATTCTGTTTGTCCCTACAACATCCCTGTGAAGCATACGCACTGTCATTTTACAGGTGGGATAACAGATCCACAAAGAAATCATTTAATTCTTTGTCTTCAGATGTGAAATGATTGATAATCAGTATACTGATCCAGCTCATTGTACTGTTTTTCACATTATTTCAGCTTTCCTAGGCAAAGGACATATTTTATCTTTCTCATTATTATTTTTAATTAGTTTTTAGAAAAGGTGAGATAAAAACAGAATCTAACAAATATCCCATGGAGATATTTGGTGTTCTCTTTTCTTTCAAGAATAAATTAAGACCTTCTCTGCTCCTCTCTGCTGGCTCTCTCGGCAGATAGTCAAAATCCCATGCCAATTTTCAAATGAATAAGGGCTCATTCTAATAGCTGATCACAGTCCCCTCTGTTGAGGAAACAGCCTTTTAAATTCATGTCTGTACCCTGAATAAGTTACTTTTGGTTATAAACTTTAACAGTTTGACCTGAAGATTTCTAAACTGTACTAATATATAACCTGGTTGTGAGTTCAGCAATAAATTTATACCCAGCATGTGAAGGGCCAAAGAGAAAACTAGCCTCTTTTATTCTCTGGTGACCTCCACTAAATATTGTATATTTACTTTGCAAATGAGGACACCCAGTGGCCACCAAGAGAAAGTATTCTAAACAATCCTTGACACCACTCTTAACACCCCGTTGTCAATGCTGGATCGATATTTCTGTAACATCTGTTACCAAGCAGGTTAGCCTCCCTACTTGGGCAAAAGTAATCGGAGTTTGGCCTGATCATTTTTATATCACATCATAGATTGGTCATCTCTTCTTATTTTTTGTTACAAAATATGGCTTAGCTTTGGGTTCTACTGAATCGTCTGTTGACAGGAGGACACAGTGAGCTGCCTCTCTGGGGAAATGGAATCAGGGAGATAGAGACAGCATGGCATGTGTCAGAAATCAAATGAAAGACCAGAGTTTGTGGGAAACTCAGTGAACACATAAGACAATTGCTTGGACATTAAATTCATATTGAAAATAGAGCTGTGGGTAGGTAGGGAAATAAAGGACAAGAAGAACATTACACAGAACTTCAGGGGCGGGAAAGCCCTCTCGGGGCCACACCATGTAGACATATCTCAGAGTAAATGTGTGTGAGGTTCCCACTTATCAACATGTTTGTGAAATGCAGTGAAGAGCTCACCAGACAAGTGCTCACATAGAACCTACACATTATAAGGAAGCATGCTGGGCAGAATTGGGGATCCAGTTATAAATTTGTAGTTGTCACTGTAGTTGTGGTTATAACAAGGTAAGATACTAGCCTTTGGGAGGCTTTGAGTCTTAGAGAGATAATACAGACACAAATGAAAAAGGGAATAAAAGAGAACGTAACATATTGGTAAGAACTCATGTGGTACATGTGTGGGAAGTTCAGGTGAACTTCCCCAACATGCCTCAACATTCAGGTACAAAAGAATTCCCTTATTTTTCTAAGGAAAATTAAACCTGAGGCCTCTGTCACAAAATCGCAAGAAATACAGTGACGTTTTGGGACTCTCTTCTCATCCTAGATTGGTACAAGACTCATGATCAGGTCCTTAGACCATGGTGATCTCCATCATTGACATTGCTTGACTACCCCACAAAGATGCCATTGAGCCCGGTCCTTCTGTGATTGCCAGCACTACTGCACTAGCTGGGTTTACAGATGACCTCCACAGTGGTCTTTGCTGCTGACCATTGGCCCAGCCCCCAGATGATTACTGTTCCTCTCAAAGCAGTGCCTTTTTATGTCCAGTCTCCACAAGTGTGGCAAGCAATTACCCCAACTGGAGCTGTATGCAAGTAGAGAACTTGCTACCTCCTCCATTTGAGGGAAAGTTGATTGTTTTTCTCTCCAGTAATGCTATCCCATTCTCTAACTCCAAAGCATCAATCAACCTCGTTCTCCTTTCCCCAGAAGGGGCCCAGATTAATAATTCATTTTAGAGAACAGAGATTAGGAAAGAAAACCCTTTGTTTTAAGGTTTCTTCTTTAGGGGTTAATGGGCTCTGAAACCACAACTCCCTCAGGCAAAGGAGCCTATAAAGTATACAAAAACCCAGCAGTTCTTTCATACAGGTGGGGGAAGGGGGAGATACCTTCTCATTAGGAAAGTTTTCTAATTCAGTGAGCACAAGCCAGAAATTAATGTCTCGATTTATTACCTCACCAACCAGTGGAAACTAAGAAAAGAGAATTCAGGATGAACTCCAGTAATCACAGAAAGCTTCATAGAGAGGGAAGAAGTTTGAGTATGGTTCATGAGGATGATAAAACTTGGTGAGAAGAGAAAGCACAATTACTTCAGAACTGCAGAAAAATTCAGCAGAAGAAAAGTAAAAATGAATGTAATAATACATGCACAGGAAAGCAAAATGGCCAACCTCTTGGATTAGCACAGAGATTTTATTTTAGAGAAAATCAAATCTAACCAAATAAGTGAAGTGAAAACAGATTATTTGAATGTTAGCTATAGCTGTAGGAGACTTCTATAGCTCAATGTCTATTTTTAAAATATGTAAATAATAAATATTATATAAAAGAATATATAAATAATATAAAGATAAAATGCCTACTCATGATTAAAGTAATTACAAAGCAGCAAACCACCATGGTACATGTATACCTATGTAACAAAGCTGCACATTCAGCACATGTACCGCAAAGCTTAAAGTATAATAAAAATAGTAATAATAATAATAATAATCACAAAGTATGCCTTCTATTTCACTTATTTACCAGAGCCTCCCAAGGTTTTGAGTTCTCTCTCACATTACTTATTCTTCACCTTAGTACAAGCTAAAAAGGAACTTATGTCCTGTTCTTTTGTTTAAGGATTTCCTGTGCCTGGTTCTATAATGGATCACCCTAGGTGCACAGATGAATTTCAGCTACTCTCTTAACCTAGCCCATACGAATCACCTGAGTGCTTCCATTTAACCAGTCACCCAGCAAACAGATTTACCTTTTTCCTTGGCTTTTCCCTGTTGCTTTGGGATAGAAAGTCTTTACTCCTCAGTAAAATGATCTATCATGGCTCAATTCCATAGAGAAATCTTGCATCCCCATCCTACCAACAACCAAAGATACTCTTGAAAAACAGCAGTCTCATTGGAAGCAACTTTTTTTTTCAGTAAGACCCAAACAAAGAGAACATTTAAGCATGAATTTGAAGACCTGCTTCAAAAGCAGTTTCAGAATGACACAGCAATAGAGGACTAAAGGAAGTTCTATGAATTAGGAACTCGATGATAATTTTTGTCAGAAAACTTTTTTTAATGACACTATTGAGTTCTGTTTTCTCCCTCATTGAAGTCCAGATAAAAGTTTCTCTGAAGGCAAAAAATTAGTTTCTTACCTAGCTGTAATTCATCACTGAGTGATGTTCTTTAAAGAAATGCCATACCTGGGTGTTATACTGAATCTTTGAACTCACTGAATTTTTTTTCTGTGAAATAAGTATATGATGATGTAGAGACCACAAGAACAGATTATTAAGAATATGCTGATTTTCACTCACTTTTTAAACTTATAATTTCTTTTTAAGCAAAACAAAAGACCTAACTTATTAGCTGTACATATAAATATATAGATCCTTCTTTAAGTTCTATTCGAAGCTAAGTTCAAACAGCACAACTTTGAAGTTAAGTAGATTTTGGTTCATTTTTGTATCCCACCCACACATGTAGCATCTCTGAACTTTTGTTCCCCAGATTTAGTGAACAAAGGAAAAGGCTACAATAGGGCAGTAGCTAAATTTGTAAGGAGAGCACTTTAGAGAGAGAAAAAAACGAAACTCCTAAAAGGTGTTTCAAATGGTTTACAATCTAAGAGGATTTAAAGGCATAAACCTCAGATTTCATTGATTTTTCTCCTTAGTCCCAGCAGGTCTTCTCCCCTTCATTTCAGCTTTGGAATGAAAGCATAAGTGTCTTTCAGAATATTGTCTGGAATTATCTATTCAATGCCTTTATTCACAGAGTAAAACTTAATTTTCACAAACTTTACTGTAAAGTAAATTTCAACAGTTTACCTCACTGGAATCAGATGCTCAAAGTATAAAAAATTCATAAAGCATATAGAGTGATAATACTCAAGACTGACGTTTTAAGTTATGGTTGGAACTGGTTTCATAAAGTGGATGCTCAGTCACTTGTTGATTGATAGATTATGCCCTCACCTCATAACTGAGGGATTTAAGGTGGCTTAAAAAAAATTCAATTATTGATAAATATGTAAGAAAAAAAAGAAATCAGAGGTAAAATAAATAATTGATAATATAATGAAGCTGGTGAAAATTTTACAAAGAAAAGCATTCCATGAGGTCCTACATAGTTGCTAAAAGGGAGCCTAAAGTTTTTTTCTGTTTTTGTTTTTTTTTTTTTGAGACGGAGTTTCGCTCTTGTTACCCAGGCTGGAGTGCAATGGTGAGATCTCGGCTCACCGCAACTTCCGCCCCCTGGGTTCAGGCAATTCTCCTGCCTCAGCCTCCTGAGTAGCTGGGATTACAGGCACGCGCCACCGTGCCCAGCTAATTTTTTTTTTTTTTTGTATTTTTAGTAGAGATGGGGTTTCACCATGTTGACCAGGATGGTCTCGATCTCTTGACCTGGTGATCCACCCGCCTCGGCCTCCCAAAGTGCTGGGATTACAGGCTTTTTATTCTCAGCTCCCTAGTAAACACAGCCAAGAGGGAAACATGATCAGTTACGATATTCACAGACTCCATAAAGAAAAGCAAAATGCAGCTTTTACTTTTAATACTTTAAAGTATTCTCTAGAAACGTTCCTGAGCACTGAGGTCTGGGAGAAGTTGATTAATGTATGTTTCAAATATCAAAGATCCTTATGGATGGATTTCTTCCATTGTTTTAGATTTTAGATCATTGTGTCCTTATGGTTCCATTTATACTGGGGTATTCTCAGTAAATGTTTTACTAGTGAATTGGTGAAAATTCAAGTGGCCCCAAAAACTTCTTAAGTGTATTTGCAATTTTACAATATGAGCAGGCATGTCCTCATCCTTTCTCAGAGATAACAGCAGACTTAACATAAAATCAGGCAAGCCAAAGACCTGGGCTAACCAAGGGAAACTGTGAGACCGCTAAGGCCAAGTAAAAAGACTTTTCTGGAATTACTTTCTCCTTTAGACCCAAAAATCCCTCTAGTAATATAAATCTATTCTCCTCAGATAAAGTACAAAGCTCTTATTTATTTGGTGGAGTGAAGAGGGGAAAAAGAACTCAGGTATGGAAGATAAGTCAAGATTTGGAGATGAGCCCTGAGACTCACAGGGCAAATATTTTTCTAGTTCACGATTTTGCCTCCCTGTTCCCCATACTTGAAACTTAGTAAAACTTAGTGGCATAACAGCAAAAAGGAAGAAAGGGAGGGAGGAAAAAACAAAGGCAAGCTCCCCATTAGAAGTACTATAGATCTTGCAAGTAAACTCTATTTTGTTGACTGATTAGATGTATATATTTGATATTTATTTCTTATACAAATTATACCACTATATTTTTTAACAGTCAAAAATGTTAAAGGTTGTTTTCTAATTCTTCTGTGGATTTGTCTTAACTGTTAAAAGGAATCTACCTGAGAAAAACAAGTTTTGCTAAACAATAGCCTCAACAGTTATAAACTATACGCTGTCATAATCCAGATTTCTGCTAGTATTAGTAGTTATCTGTCTTCCCTTTCAATCCTTTTTAAAAACTCTCTTCTGAAAAGTAACTTTTCTCATTTTGGCTAACATTATTTGCTTTATCATACAAAATAGTATCAGTTCAACTTAAGTAAATGGAAAATATCAATTCAACAGACCTAATGCATCAGAGAGTAATGCAATCACAAAGTATGCATCAGTTTTAGAAGCTTTGATTATTGAAAGTAGTTACAAGTATTTTAAAGAGGGAGGCCTGAATCTCAATCCACAACTCTTAATTTGGGTAAAACACAGACCTCTTTGAGAATTTAATGAAAGCCACTGACCTTATTCCTATAAAAGTATAAACATGTCCATTCATGAAAACTATATGTACCCCCTAAAAACCATACATAAAACCAAGGTCCTTTAAATACTTTTAAGTATTCTCTAAAAATGTTCTATGAATGAATAAAAATTCAAGTAATATTAAAGACATACCCAATTACAGTATTGGGATCATAAATAGAATGGAATGGTATTGTAAATACTATAAATAAGTTGGTAACTTTTAATGTCTTTGTCTAGCTAAAATAATAAATAGTGACTAAAAAAGCACATCCAGGTAGTCCCCAACTTTCATAGTTAGGCATTCCTGCAAATATGTCTGAAAGTCAAATTTCTACAAGTTTAATTTCTGCAAAATTTCAACAATTGATTTATGTTTTATGCGAAGAATTCTGTTACTGATGGCTAAAAAACGTACTGAAATCCCTGATGGTTCCTCCACACTGGGCTTATACAATCTGGAAGACAGAGGAGAACCCCCACTGGGAGATGGCCCAAAATATCCCCCTTATCACCCAAGAATGTGTAAGTAAAACTGTACAGCTCTGCCTTCCATAGGCTGATGACCTTCCCTAGTCTCACTACCAAGGTAGTTAACAGCTGGGATATGCTAGGTATATGGAGCCAGGGTAGAAGAAAGAGATATTGTCTGCTTGCCACCTTCCACTTGCATGTGTGGTTTCTCCAGTGCTCCCAGCCACCCTTCCAAGACTGTGACAATACCAGTGAGATAGAAAGAGAGAGAAGGGTGGTGCAGGGTCATTTACCCTGGATGTAACCTCTAAGCAAGAAACTAGTATACCTCCTCTAGTACAGGGATTCGGCAGGACTCCCTTGGCATATATGAGTAGGTAAAGTAGATATAACTGAGCTCTTACCCCAGGCAGGGGGTTTGGAGAATAAGGGGGCTCAGTCACCAAAATACATCCCCCCTTTCTCCAGAGATGACTGGCTCTTCCCTAGTGTGACTAACTTCACAAGCTGCACCTGTTTCACCTGCAGACCCACTCACCTCATCCAGTGGCCCAGATTAAAAGCTCAAACGCTTTCTGGCCCTGCCACTTGACTTGGACTTATTGACTTGACCGAAATTTATATTGGTTTTAATTCGAGAGCTGGTGTTTCCTTCCAAGTCCAGAGACTTTAAATCCCCGTCCCCCTCTATAGCATCTTACCCTTGCACTAGTCTCATTTTATATATCCTTTTGCTCTCCTGATTGAGAAAGGACTGGATTTCACACCTAATTAAAAGAGATTGTATTGCCTGCTGTTTCCTTTCTTGCTCATTTTCTCTTGTGAGCAGGCAGCTTTTTATTCTCATGCTAAGTCCTATCCCTGGACCCCTGCAGCTTAAGGGACAGGCAGGAGCAAGGTTCCTGCAAAACAGAGAGTCAGGCGCTCTATCCCCAATTCCCCACAGGCAGATTTTCCCTTCAGTACTCACCCCTGCTGGAGCCCTGTCTGCGTTGTGCTCTCACAGAATAGTCACTTAGAATACATGATGACTTTCATTACTGCAATTCCTTCCATGTTTCCAGTGAATGCCATCACAGGCTGACTCTATATTTTTACTCTAGTGAAAAGGAGGTAGGTTATTATTTTAAAACAGAGAACTATTTTTATCACTTTTTCATTTTGCCATCAGTTCTGTGTTCATAACACTGTGCATTTTTTATTTCGGGTGGGGAGCATCCCCAAATACACATAATCACATAATCTATGTAAAGTTTTGCGGTTTTGTACAGTTGATAGGGTTGGGGTTTGGGTTTTTTTTTTTTTTTTTTTTTTGAATAGCCCAAATGCCTATTCAGTGCCAATCTAAGAAAGAATAGAGTTAGCATTTTCACACCATTCCTTCCTATACACTCCGTGAATAACCATCTAATCAAGATTTGTTTTCAATGGGGGACAAATCTTCTACAGTAGAGTATTTCAGATTTATTCCATTGGAATCTATACATTAATGCCTATTGGATGAAAAGGACATGCTCACAAAAGCCTGGACTTCGCCTTGCTGTGGCAGAAACTTTTTCCCACTGTATTAGTGTTAAAAATAAAAGAAAGCCTGGGAAAGGAATTGCTTCGGCATTGTGTGCTGGAGGAATGAGGTGTGCTTGAATGGGGAGGCAGGGTTCCCCTTTGCATCTGTACTCATATCAGCAAAAACGATTCAGCTTTTCATGGCTGTTCACTGCAGTGTGGGGCCAGTGTACTCAGGGAGATATGTAAGGATTGTGTCTAAATAATTCAACCAGGCATTTCAGGCCAGGTTGTGTACGTGTGCAGGTTTAAGTTTGTCTTTTTAATGACGTTGGTGGCAATATTATCGCAATAGTCTTAACTCAGACTATTTAGTAGATAACTTGATTGTTTAGATAAACTAAATTTGCAATCCAGTCTGGTCAAACAGTTTGTATTTTTCTCATGAAACTGTGTGTGTGTGTGATTATGTATGTTCACTTCTCATCTCTAAAGTAACTTTCGTCATTACTTTCAGTGTCTTTCTTTTTTTCTACTGAGAATTAAGATAACTCTTGATCTTGGGCACTTCAAGTTTCATTCCTCAGTGAGCCACTGTTATGCAGTGGAAAAAGCATCAAGAGGCATAGGTTCTACTCCCAATCCTGCAACTTGCTACTGTGTAAAACTTTGGGCAAGTCATTTAGACATTTTGAGAGCCTCAACTTTCTCTTATATGAAATAGTAATAATAAGACCTATCCTGAAGGGCTAAGCATGGTAGCTCATGCCTGTAATCCCAGCACTTTGGGAGGCCGAGGCGGGCAGATCACTTGAGGTCAGGAGTTCGAGACCAACCTGGCCAACATGGTGCAACACCATCTACTAAAAATACAAAAATGATCCAGGTGTGGTGGCACACGCCTGTAATCCCAGCTACTCGAGAGGCTGAGGCACAAGAATCACTTAAACTTGGGAGGTGGAAGTTGCAGTGAGCTGAGATAGTGCCACTGCACTCCAGCCTGGGCAACAGAGCAAGGCTCTGTAAAAGAAAAAAAACTGTCCAGAACACATATAGGATTATTGTAAGGAATAAATGAAATGTTACATGTAAAAGAGTTGTATACACTGTCAAACACTATATGGATACTAATTATTATGAAAATTGTGATAGAGCTACTTCCCAGAATTATCTGAAAGAAAACTCTATCATATATGACATCTCTAGTGGTATTGCCGTAACTAGTGCTATGAGCAAATGTGTGTTTAAAGAGTGTGTTTAGTTGTGTAGAAAAAAATGTAATAAATCCATCCTACAAAGAGGTGATCATAGACACAACCAGTTTTACCACTTACTGTTTTACTTATATGAAAGTGACCTTGGTGATAGTAAAATTGTATATAGAAAATTATACATCATAGTGCCAAACAGTTGTTTTACTTCTTGCATCATGACGTCTAAAAATATAAGTTCTTGGCCAGGCGTGGTGGCTCATGCCTGTAATCCCAGCACTTATTGGGAGGCTGAGGCAGGCGGATCACGAGGTCAAGATATTGAGAACATTCTGGCCAACATGGTGAAACCCCGTCTCTACTAAAAAACACAAAAATTAGCTGGGTGTGGTGGCATGTGCCTGTAGTCCCGGCTATGCAGGAGGCTGAGGCAAGAGAATTCCTTGGACCTGGGAGGCGGAGGTTGCAATGAGCCAAGATAGCGTCAGTGCACTCCAGCCTGGTGCCTGGCAACAGAGAGAGACCCTGTCTCAAAAAATTATAATAATAATGAGTTCTTTAGGTTAGCTGACTGAGGCTATGTCGAAGCATCACAGCCTAGAAACATGCAAACCATGCTAAGTCATGGATAGGTATAAACGTAGCTGGAGGTAGTACTGGGCAAAGCCTTTCACACAGCTTTACAACAGATCCGTGGATCCTTAAGGGCCAGACCTCATTCAGGGGCAAACTATGCAATACAGTGAAGCAGTTAGAATAGTAACCCCTAAAAAAAGTTCTCTTGTGATTACTATTGTGGCATATCTGTATGGTGAACTCAGCAAGAACTTGAAATTTGATCTGCTGCCGACTGAGTTCCTGAACAGCCCTTCCTGGGTTATTTGTGCCTTCCTTTAGGGCCATACTTTGTATTGACACAGTTACAGGAGATTCACCTTAACTTTTTAATCTGCTAAAGAGAACTTGTCTTACATAAGTTAAAATGATGGAATCTGTAGCCTCATACAATATTTTAGGCACATAACAGACCTGATAGAGTCAGAACAAGAAAGAATGCTCTTACACAAATTAACGCAAATTGTATTATTGAACATTTATTAAGTAAAGCTCATACCATGTGAGGGTGATGAAGTGAAGCAGGGGAGAAAAGCTCACTGAATCAGTTTCCTGAACAAGTCTTCTATCCCCAGGTAGAGCAGAAAGAGTGTGAGCAGGTAGACCTTCTTCCCATCTGAAGGCTCTTACCTCTCAGGTGGCTTCTCACAAAACGGAGAGATTTGGGTCACAGGCCAGCAATCAGTGCTTGGGCCATTCGGTTTTGAAAGGCAAGAAGGGGGAATCTGACTGAAGCACTATTTGGAGGGGGATTCTCTAGAGCCATCCTAGTGGTGAGCTAGAAAACTAATAAAGCCCTAAGACCTACTGCTTTGTTTTGTTTCTCAGACACCTGTTTTGTTTCTCATTCTGAATCCAAATCTTATCAACATTATCCCTTGTCATACAGCCTACAGTATAGGAGTGGTGTTGGGTCAGGCTCTCTGCAGCCTCCACGTAGCTGTTGCCTTCCCCCCGGGAGCTGTTTAATACTTCCCTGTGGCAAGTACATAAAGCACCCTGTTACCCAAGGAGATCATATATCCCACTCCTGGTTTACTCCTGCTATCCTGGCCTAATTATTAACAATGCTCCCTTTCACTCTTGAAAGTGCCACATTTGAATAATAGATATGATCACCAATGTACTCTAGTCTCCTGGGTAAGAACTGCCATATCTGACGTTTTTAACATTCCTTCTTCATTAAGCCTCAGAAAATTCAGAAAACTATCTATATCACATGCAACCACCCTAGAAAGTGCTCAAACGGTTTGTCAGAGATGACCAAGAAGAATGAGTAGATACAGAAAGCAGCCATGGAGTGCCCCTTTAGCTAGCAGATTGCTTTCTGTAGCCTATCAATCATCTGGAAAACATGGTAGTGACTGTTTGGTAGACATCTTAGTCTGGGTTGAATTCTCCAAGAATTTTTGCATACATGTTGTAGGTTTTGATAATATGCCATATAACTTAATAGGAAGGGGGTTTATTTGTTAACTATGAATGTGGTCACTGTGTATAAATAAAATAAGGAACTTTGATAAGTTGGGAGAGATGTAAACGTTCCCAAAGGACCTAGGCTTAGGCTTGTCTAAAGTGGAGGCAAAGTAAACAAATACATAAATAAAGTGGAGGTAGAGTGTTCATAAGAACAAGGCTTCCGTTTGCCTTTCTGTTCTTTGCTTTAGGAATAGCAGGCAAACAAACCATCTGGTTATTAGGCCACTCTACCTCAGCTGCAGCTCTGGGGAATTAATATGGATGCCCAAAATGGCTGCAGCACTAAGAACGGAATTGGAGCAAAATTCAAGGCCCTATTCCCTTAGGCCATCATACCTGCACTTGTATGCCGCAGCCTGTCCATCTCCCCACTTGCCTATGTAAGGGCGGTGCTTCTAGGAGCCATGACCATTACTCACCTGAAACCTAGGTGTTAGGAATGCAGCCAACTAGATCTGACCCATGCCCTGTTTTGTGTCTGCGTTGACATGCTGCAGGTGACATCAGTTGCAAGGGGATGACCGAGCGCATTCACAGCATCAACCTTCACAACTTCAGCAATTCCGTGCTCGAGACCCTCAACGAGCAGCGCAACCGTGGCCACTTCTGTGACGTAACGGTGCGCATCCACGGGAGCATGCTGCGCGCACACCGCTGCGTGCTGGCAGCCGGCAGCCCCTTCTTCCAGGACAAACTGCTGCTTGGCTACAGCGACATCGAGATCCCGTCGGTGGTGTCAGTGCAGTCAGTGCAAAAGCTCATTGACTTCATGTACAGCGGCGTGCTACGGGTCTCGCAGTCGGAAGCTCTGCAGATCCTCACCGCCGCCAGCATCCTGCAGATCAAAACAGTCATCGACGAGTGCACGCGCATCGTGTCACAGAACGTGGGCGATGTGTTCCCGGGGATCCAGGACTCGGGCCAGGACACGCCGCGGGGCACGCCCGAGTCAGGCACGTCGGGCCAGAGCAGCGACACGGAATCGGGCTACCTGCAGAGCCACCCACAGCACAGCGTGGACAGGATCTACTCGGCACTCTATGCGTGCTCCATGCAGAATGGCAGCGGTGAGCGCTCTTTTTACAGCGGCGCAGTGGTCAGCCACCACGAGACCGCGCTCGGCCTGCCCCGCGACCACCACATGGAAGACCCCAGCTGGATCACACGCATCCACGAGCGCTCGCAGCAGATGGAACGCTACCTGTCCACTACCCCCGAGACCACGCACTGCCGCAAGCAGCCCCGGCCTGTGCGCATCCAGACCCTAGTGGGCAACATCCACATCAAGCAGGAGATGGAGGACGATTACGACTACTACGGGCAGCAAAGGGTGCAGATCCTGGAGCGCAACGAATCCGAGGAGTGCACGGAAGACACAGACCAGGCCGAGGGTACGGAGAGTGAGCCCAAAGGTGAAAGCTTCGACTCGGGTGTCAGCTCCTCCATAGGCACCGAGCCTGACTCGGTGGAGCAGCAGTTTGGGCCTGGGGCAGTGCGGGACAGCCAAGCTGAACCTGCCCAACCCGAGCAGGCTGCAGAAGCCCCTGCCGAAGGTGGTCCGCAGCCAAACCAGCTAGAAACAGGCGCTTCCTCTCCGGAGAGAAGCAATGAAGTGGAGATGGACAGCACAGTTATCACTGTCAGCAACAGCTCCGACAAGAGCGTCCTGCAGCAGCCTTCGGTCAGCACGTCCATCGGGCAGCCATTGCCAAGTACCCAGCTCTACTTACGCCAGACAGAAACCCTCACCAGCAACCTGAGGATGCCTCTGACCTTGACCAGCAACACACAGGTCATTGGCACAGCTGGCAACACCTACCTGCCAGCCCTCTTCACTACCCAGCCTGCGGGCAGCGGCCCCAAGCCTTTCCTCTTCAGCCTGCCACAGCCCCTGGCAGGCCAGCAGACCCAGTTTGTGACAGTGTCCCAGCCCGGCCTGTCGACCTTTACTGCACAGCTGCCAGCGCCACAGCCCCTGGCCTCATCCGCAGGCCACAGCACAGCCAGTGGGCAAGGCGAAAAAAAGCCTTATGAGTGCACTCTCTGCAACAAGACTTTCACCGCCAAACAGAACTACGTCAAGCACATGTTCGTACACACAGGTGAGTGCTGCCCTACCTGGAAGCCTGGCAGCAGGGGCTGAGGGGTCTGTGGGAAGGCAAGGTAAGAGAGCAGGTTGAAGGGAAGGTTTGGGGTCATCATTTCAGATTTTAAAGAGACCCCACCAAAGCCTCTTCTAAAGCCCCAACTGTGTTCCTCCCATCATAAGAACAAAGCACCCTGCCACCAAGCAACACCATCATAGAAACCCTTTATGGAGAAGGGATATCCTAGGCATGTCCCAACTACCGAAGAGAAGACTTGAGGCATCATATAAGTGATATTCAAGTATTTGTGTTTCAGAGGCAGCATATTGTAGTCAGGAAGAGCTTGAGCTCTAGAGCAAGATGGCTTGGCTTTGAATTCAGGCTTAGCCACTACTAAACCTTGTCACCTTGAAAAAATTACTTTTCTATACTTCAGTTTCCTTGTCTATAAAATGAAAATAATATTGATACACCGTCCTTGTAGTGTTGTCTTGAGAATAAATGAATGTATGTGAAGTCTTTAGAGTAGTTCTTCACACATAATAAGTGCTCTATAAGTGGTAGCTATTATTAAGATGGTTAAGAGGAGTAGTCATTCAGTTTGTATAGTTTGGCTCCAAAAGGTGGAACTAGACCAATGATTGGATGCTATTAGGAGATACTTTCCACTAAATAAAAGAAAAAGTGTGTTAACAATCGGAACCTGCCCTAATATCAGATAGACTGCTTTTAAATGGAGTGCATTTCTATAATTAGAGGCATTCAAGAAGAGAATGGATGAATATTTATAGGAATTTTGTACACGGGATTCAGTTAACAAAATGGGTAAGATCGTGTTTCATCTCTGGATTCTGTGATTCCAGAGCTAAGGTCTCCTGACCTATCAGACAGTCGTTTTTCCTAGCACCATAATGGGACAGAGATATGGAATTCCCATAAAATTTGGCATTCCATCGATGTGCCTCCATATAAGTGACCACCTAAGCGATTGTGATTTCACATAGATTCTCTTGGACCAAAGTATACCTACAACAGTAATGATCATTATATTTAAAATTCTTTCTTCTTTTCTTTTCTTTTTTTTTTTTTTTTTTTTTTGGGTGAGACAGGGCCTCACTTTGTTGCCCAGGCTGAAGTGCAGTGGCATGATCTTGGCTCACTGCAGCCTCAACCTCCCCGGCTCAAGCAATCCCCTGACTTCAGCCTCCCAAGTAGCTGGGACTACAGGCGCATGCCACCATGCCCATTTAATTTTTTTATTTTTTGTAGAGATATGGTTTCACCATGTGAGCTCAAGCCATCCGCCTGCCTCAGCCTCTCAAAGTTCTGAGATTATAGGCATGAGTCACCATGCCTCAGAATACCCCTATTAAATGATGAATAATTTACCAGGGAAAAGTTATATGCTTGAACTCTGATACATGAAAACAAATTAGTTTATCAAAACAACCTTGTTTCCCAGATAAGCTAGTAGGAATCCAAGAGACAGGGCATAAGACAGCAAAGTTTAGATTGGGGACTGAAGAGAAAGAAAGCAACAGAGATGGAGCCAAGGCATCAAACTTGGAATTGTACAACTGAAATGGAACATGGCTTAAGATAAACTTTGCCTTCTTTGCAGTGTTATTTAAGTCAGGACATTATGTACATTAATGTGCATACTTTTATGAGAATCAGTTTTTCAAGATCACATTTCCAAATAAATAAAGTGACTCACTACTGAATTTAGGAAGAAAATTGGGTAGTGGTAAGTCACTATGTTTATTTGGGATAAATGTGAATGCACTAATAACCTGAGGTCAATCACAAGAAATTTTTCATGTGGTATGGGTATTACCATTATTAGGTGAATTAATCAAATAGTAATGTGTTTGTTTTGAGCAATTCATGATTTGTAGAGTGCTATCACATAGTGTATATCCTTTCGTCCCCCATATAGCTGATTTATAAGGCATTAAATTAAGGATCCTCAGGAGGGATATAGGAAGGACCATTTGTGAAAGTGTCTCCTTAGCCAAAGTTGACTCTGCTGTTCTTGGATCCATAAGCATGCCTACTCTGCCCTCTATATATCTCTTCAAGTAGACCTATCAGATATAAAATTCACACATTCTATTAGATCACATAGTGAAATAAGGCTTTAAATTTGCAACATAAAATTTTCAGTGTACTACCAAAGAGTATCTTCTTGATGTATAAATACATTTCTCCAATGGATTCACCAAAGGATTCTCTGGTTAACCAAGATAACTAGATTTGGGCATGAGAAAACCAGCAAAGGATTTGTACACTCAGACACTATAGATGCAAAAGCTATAGGTAGAGTCATTTTATAAATCTGAGTTATGCTTAAAGTGTGGACTTCAGTTCTCTAGTAAATTCTGAACATCTTCAGTAAATTATGAATGTTGTTGTAATAGTGTGTATAATATAGTCCCATCTGAAAACCATAATGTACATATATCAATCAGGCACCCAATTTAAAAGAAGTAATGCTATTCTCTTTTATTCCAGAATTATTTGGCAGTGGCAGTTTAGAAATCCTATCTGTCTTTCCAGACTTTTGTCTTAACTGAAGGGGCCCCTAACCTAACAAACTGTAAGAACAATTGGTCTAGATTTTCAAAAGGCGTGGCAGCCAGAACATGTGGAAATAATTCAAGACCTGCATTCATTGGAGCTCACATTTCCAAACAAAGTTCTTTTCAATTTCTGGGGAAAACATTTTAAAAAAAGAGGAGCCTCACAACTTTCCAAGAGCCTAGTGGAAGTGATAAAAATTCAGAGCAAAATGTCCAAATGTTAGTATAGAAAGATTCTACAGAGCACGGGTATTTCCAAGAGTAGGTTTGGACTCAGTGTTCCCACCCATACTCTAACCAAAAGAATCCTAAAAAGAAATAATAGCTTGACAAAGTGAAAAAGAAAGAAGTTTGAGTTTTCTTCATCACAGCTACTATGCAAACCAATAGATCTGCAGAGTGACTGGTTTAGCAATTCCGTATCTCCAAAGTTTAATATAGATGGTACTTGCTTTCAACAACTGCAGAGATAAGTTGTGTGTGATGGTACACACCTATGGTCCCAGATACTCAGGAAACTGAGGCAGGAAGGTCTCATGGGTCCAGGATTTTAGAGGCCAACCTGGGTACCCATCTCTTAAAAAAAAAAAAAAAAACCTGAAGAGAATCAATGCTAAGATTCAGATTCCAATGACAATTTTGTACTGCTCCATGTTAATATTCCACATTCTTGAAAGAAAGTGTTTGAAGCCAGGCATGATGGCTCACACCTGTAATCCCAGCACTTTGGGAGGTAATTGTGGGAGGATCACTTGAGTCCAAGAGTTTGAGACCAGCCTGGACAACTTGGCAAGACCCCAGCTCTATAAAAACTATAAAAATTAGCCAGGCATGGTGCTGCATGCCTATAGTTCCAGCTACTAGGGAGGCTGAAGTGGGAAGATCACCTGAGCCCAGGAGGCAGAGGTTGCAGCGAGCAGAGAT